AACCGTCAGACCAGTGTCTGACTGCACAGCTGGTATCACTGGCAAGGATTCAGCTTCCTTCACCATGTTGTCTTGTGTGACTGTGAGCAAGGACTGCTGAGAAGGGAGGGCACCCATTGGACCAAGACAGAAAGAAGAACTTTATGGCTATGTTTGTTGAACTGCTGAGATCTTTAAACTAGAATCACCAGGAAACAAGGACTGAAGTCCAGAGATGAAGGAGAAGCTGCAAATGGAGGAGATACACAAGGGAGAAGGCTTCCAAAGGGACTTTTGTATTCCTGCTCAGAAGAGAAGTTCATTCAAAGGCTTTCTTCTACTGCTTGTACAAAGCTTATGTGCAAAGCCTGGACAACAGAAGGACCCATGAGTCCAGGCACAGTGGCAGGACAACAACAGGACTATTGGACCATGGTTCTGGATGAGTACAGGCTGTTCAGGAAAGACAGGCAGGGAAGAACAGGAGAAGCAGTCACACTCTGTGCTAAGGAGCTCTTTGTGTAGATCTCCAGTATGAAACTGCAAGTGAGTGTCCAGCTCAGTACCACACCATGGTAAAAGTATAGTAAAGGAACGCTTGGGAGGCTGAAGTGGGATCTGGTGCCTTTTCCTTTAGAAACCAGATGGCTGTCCTGGACACCATTCTCCAGAGCAGCTCCCCAGGGGATGATACCTGGTGATCCCTGAATAAGCCCCCATTTTATCCCCCAAAGCTTGGCGTCCCACGCTGCTCACCTTCCAGTCTTCCTCTGGACCCCAACCACCAGCATTTCATGGTTGTTGCAGGGGAGCTGCCCTGGGCAACCAGAGGTGCCACGAGCTCTTCCCTGCTTGTGAGCAGCAACTTAGGGCTGGCAAAGAGAAGTTTAAGGGACACTGTAATGACAATCTACTTAGACGCCCGTTACAGAGGTGGTGAAAGAGAGTGGGTTTAGATAAGATATTAGGAAGAAATTCTTTCATTAGGGCAGTGAGACACTGGAACAGGTTGCCCAGAGAAGTTCTGGATGTCTCCTCCCTGGAAGTATTCAAGGCCAGGTTGGATGGGGCTTTGAGCAACCTCATCTAGTGGAAGATGTTCCTGCTCATTGCAGGGGAAGTGGATTAGATGACCTTTAAAGATACTTTCCAACCCAAACCATTCTGTCGTTCTATGACTATGATTTCACAAGTGAGATCACAACCTCTTACAGAGGGAGCTATATTTTCCAGTTGAATGTGTTTACAGCATAGGAATAAATGAAAGGTAAATAAACAAAGCAATTACCTTTTTACCTTGATCAAGGAAAAAAAACATTCCATCTACCATGACAGAAATAAGAATCTTGAGCCTGTAAAAAAGGGGTTTCTGTTGTGGAAAAGATAATCTTTTTTTCTTTCAAACTAAATTAAGCTCTAAAGCCAGCAGTTAGCACAAAAGATTCCCTCCTTCAATAAATTACTTTGACTCCAAATTTTCAGCTCAGTAAACACCATTTTGAACCTCTTTTTGTAGAAAAACAAAGTGTATTTTGAAGTGACGATTTTTTTACTCTGAAAACTTTTTTCTCAAAAAATGACTCCATACAGCAATCCACTGAAATCTGTATCAATTTAAGAAATGCATTTCACCAGCGCACTCTTCTTTATACAGACAGCTGTTCAACAAATGTTTTCGAACAGCACTCATGGAATCTAGATGGGGACTTATGAGGAAATATGTCTCGTCTTTATGTTACGATCAGGACAGTTTAATTGATAGAAAGCTTTAGCTACAACATGTATGTCATCTCCATCAGGAGACAGAAATTGAGGTATCCTACCCTCCCTTTTTCATGTGGTCACTAACACAGCATAAAAGTGGCCGAACTCAATTAGTGGAGACAGAGGTTGTTCAATATGATAAAGCTTATGCACAGAGCTCTTCTTTCTTTCCCGAATGTACTCAGAAGCTACACCATAATCTTTTAAAATATATAAGTGTATGGCTATTAAATGGAGCTGTAACTACTTGCAAGAGTAAATCTGCTTCTTTAATGGTCCCCTTTTTGTGTCAATAAAAATATTCCTTTTTTGTGTCAATATGGAAGAGTAGGAGTGGAATGCACATCTCCTCAAGAAGAGTAATCTTTTTAAATAAGTTTCACCAAAACTTTTACAGGGCTATAATTAAAAGATATTTTAAAAGAATAATTATTTTGCACCTTCTGTTCATGATCCTGTACTCCACTCTGAGATCAAAATGCAATATAAGCAGAAAGTTTTACCACAGTCCTTTCCACCTCAGTGAAAGATGTCTGTCTCTTTCTTTTATTTCCCAGCCATTATCATTTCAGCAGAGTGCCTTTATGGGATAATCAAAAGAAAACATCCCGGAAATTTCTGACATAGCTTCACTTTTTTTTTCTCCCTCCATCTCAAACAAGGGCCAGATGCACACTCTGAGACTGAGTCATAGTGAGGGGCCTTTTAGTTATTTAATTACAGTTTTTAATTAATGTGAGAAAGCTTAACTGATCCTAAATAGTGGTAGCAGTTGACAAATTACAAGAGCACTCCATGCCCACAGAAAAGCTAATGCTGCAAGGAAAGCACAGGCAATCAACACGAGTTGGTAATCAGTTACATTTCAAAGAAATAGTTTTTCCAAGTGTCTTTTTGCATGTGGGATTATTATTGTCTTTGAAGTTTAAATCATTTTTAAGATCTGGCTTGGGGCAAATTAGATAAGAAGGTGGCTGTGCAATTAAATTAATACTTTGGAAAGCTCATATGGTTATAAGATCCAAATACTTCTGATAAAATGCTGCCAACACTTTAAGAGGTGTACCGACTTATTTTTTACCTATAAATTTTGTTGCTGACAGATTTGGTAGGTGCATGATTCAGTGCTTAGCACTGGTAACGTGATTCATGCAGGTTTCTGAACAGTTGTCCGAGATGAAGGCTCCAGTGAAGATTCTAGCTCTGTGAATCAACTTTCACAGGACTTGGCCATGCTCACAATACAGCTTGGAGAGCCTTGCTGAGCCGAGGCTCGGTGCTGTTTTCCAGCTCAGCCCACTGAAACAGGGACCAAGAACATCTGCTTGAGGTGGTGCCAGACCCATCGAGTCCCACACATGATCACAGGATACTTTTCTGTACTCCCCTTCACACCCACTGTCCAAGAGCCTCTGAGCAGCTGTGCCTGGTGCCTGGCTCCCCTAGACAGTGGGGGGCTGCACTGCAGCCAGGGACCACCACTGCTTGGAGACAGATGCTCCAGCAACAGCTTCTCCCACAGCACATGTTTTCACTGTGCCATCTTTGTCACGGTGTCTGGCACATTCATCACATGCCTTCATCTGCTGATTAAATGCCTGCCCCCATCGCTGAGCCCGGCGCACGACTCCGGCACAGGACTTTGTTAACTTAAGAGGTCTGTGGTGAAGGACTGTCAGATCCTGTCTCTGCCATCTCCTTTTAGACTATGTGGGTTTGGACTGTCAATCACTCCTGCTGACAAAGAAATCAATTCTCTCCACAGAGCCAAGTGGTTTTGTAAAATGCATTCTGAATCATATCAACCAGATGCCTTTACAAAGCTGTATTTGTGACCAGGACTTGATAAAAGAAAGGGAGTTGCAAAATAAAGTATATCTTAATCTTGAAACTTCTTGAAAAGAAAAGTCAGCTAACTGTATGGAGCGATGATAGGCAACTAAAAATGTGATATTATTTGAGACTGTGTATATAGATCTCCATTTCAGTGAAAAACTCCAACAAAAGTGGTCTCATTTTTTAAGGGGGAAAAAAAAAGTCTCATCAGTGTTTGCAAGAAGAACGAGCCAAAGCTTTGTGCAGACTCCTTTCACAAAATCTTCAGGACTTGAGCCCCATTTGTTTGGGCAGCAAGTGTTCCAAGTGATTCACTGTGATTAACTCAAGAGGAGTTAGAGACCTGCTTTCTTTTGAAAACCCTATTACATAATAATTTGCCCCTTCAGATGCCTGAATGTTGTTAGAAGTCTGGCCTGGTTTGCCTGTCATGTAAACATGGGTAAGGTGAGGCATTATCACCATTTTCTAGACTTGGAAATGGAGATGCACAGAAGTTGAATCATTTACCCAAGGAAGCACACACAACGAGCCCCATTGGTTTAGCACAAAGAGCCCCTTAACCCAGGAGACTGTCCTGAGCTGTGTCAGCAATGGAGACACAGGACAAGGCTGCAAGTAAGTGTCTGGAGTTGTATTTCCCCTGTTTTGTCTTCACATCTCGTAGCAACTGTTAGACTAGGGACATTTTGAGACAGAGCTGCATCCAGCAGATCATGTTCGACAGCCATCATTCTCTGTGAGAAGTTAGCTACTGCTTGACATCAGATCAGATCCAGTTTTGGCCTCTGCTTTGTAGACTGAATCCTTGTAAAGGATGTCTGAAGCGTGGAATCAAGTTCACTTTAAGAGTGAAATGTCGTGAAGATGAAAGAATTAAACAGTTGTCCCCTGAGAAGTTGGAGGTAGAACCCAGCCTGGCTCCAGGGACACAAGATTTTCACATGGAATGTCTCACAGAATTTAAATTTTCCATCTGGAACCTGGATCTACTGATGTGAATAGAAGTGTTACAAAACCCCACAGAGCCAGCTGTGCAGTTAAGTTTGATATCTATGAGACAGAGTAATGTGAATCACTTATCACCTTCATTACATTCAACGCACTCCGTAAGAGGAATCACTGAGAGCTTTCAAGAGCACTTCAAGGTTTACTTTGCTGCAGTATCTGTTGCAGAGGACTGCATTTTCCCTTGTGATGTATTGCTTTAGAAGGAATCCCCAGAAGGTAAAAATTCCTTGAGCTATTATTGCATTATAATTTTAATACACATTTCCTTCTTGGTTACAGATTTCCCTAGTACTTTATGCAGGCAAAGCAAGGAAGGACATTGCTGTGAGCAATGCCAACTAACGACTAACAACTGAAAGAATCAATGAGTTCACCTGCCAGGCATCACTCAGTCATCAGGTTGGCTTTCAGTTACCTAAAACACCCACTAGTGATTAACATTGCTTTACTTGCCCACTAGAAAGAAAAAGCACACTTTTGAGAAATCAGCTGTATTACATCTGGTAGGATGTTTGTGGCAAAGGGAGGGGAAGGTTTTGCAGCTTGTTCCAAGAAAACCAATGCCTTCACCTAAAAAAAAATAATCAGAAAAGCACAAGGTGAGGAACAGAGGACAAGTGGGAATTATACTGCAGCAGCACAGCTCCTTGGAAGCTGGACAAGGTTACAGGAGCACCTCTGGTTTAGCAAGTCAGTGCTGCAAAGTGCTAAGCATCTCCACTCCTGCTGGAGTTAATGGGCATCCAAAATCCTGGAGGAGGAGAAATATTTCTAAACTAAAAAATCTTTTACTCAGCTCTTTCTTTTTGCTGAAGCAAAAAATCACTGAGTTCAAAATCAGTGAAAAGCTGTTCCAACAGCTTATGCAAGTGAGTTTCTTGCCAAAAGAAGGAGTACTGGAACAAATGAATAACTTAAGGAAAAATGGGAATACAGTGGTAACATCTAAAATGATTTAACAACATGTCTGAGCCCATTAAAAATAAATTTTTTACTAGAGAACTGAAACTTGTATTCATATTTCAAAGTAACAAGCAATACCTAAATGTCATCTTGGCAATTATTGAGTGGTTACATTTATTTCAAAAGACAAAAAAATATTAAAGGTTACATCTATATAGCACAATGCAGTATCATGTAAAAATGCTCAGACTAGCCCTAAAGATAGATGTTGGGGAGGGGTATTATCAAGCAATCGAGAAGACTATTGATGCAAATACAACCTGCTACTGCTTAGGAAGGGTATTGAACCAAGGCAGGGTCATGCTGTGATGACCAGATCCCTTCTAGAATCAGAGTTAGCTTGTAGGGAGCTGATGTGAAAATTTCTGCATGGCACTGCCCTGTATTTCCTAATTCCAGAGGAACCCACATTTGCTTAGATTTTTTATCTAAGCCTCTGATTCATAGAGGTATTTGAGCAGTCTTCTAGATGTTCTGCTTGATTTTCCCTCTTTGCCATTATAGTCCTCAATGTTGAAGGGGGACCAGCTCATAAAATGCAACTGATGCAAAGCTAAAAATCTTTGGGTATTTCAAAAACAGGCAAACAGAATAAGTATTGAGTGAATGTACTTAGTCTCCTGTGACAATCCACACTGCTCACAACTTGTGCATCTGCAGTCCCTGTGGGAGCACTGGCCAGGAAGCCAGCTCCATTTTGGCTATGCAGACCTTCACCTTGCCAGACGTCCTTTCATCTCCATCTTTAATGTAAAATCCCAAGGGCTGCTAGCGCAAACCTAAAAATAGAGACTCGCTAAGTGAACTGGCTCCTTCATAAAAACATAACATCTTGGACAGCACAACAGAAGGGGATTGAATTGACAGATCACTTTGCAGCTCTCTCGGCAATGAAGCTACCTGGCCAGGGTATCCATTCCCAGGGGAGCCTGAGCAGGGTCTTGCGTGCCAGTCACACTGTGCTGAGATCTGCTGGAGCCACTTGGGAGCTAAAGAAGAGCTTGACATAGAAAAGACTACTGAAACTAAGCTGCTGTAGGCAAGGGATAGCATGAGAAGTAGAAACAGGTGGATAAGCTAAGAGAGAACAAAAAGATCAATTTGACATGCATGTGCATACTTTTTTTAATACAATTTTTATAATATGTCTGTGAAGGACATCTATCATTTTTTAATACAGTCTAACACTGGGCTTTGTACAGAGCTTTGTGCTCTTTTGCTCTTTCTCCAGTTGGGTGTCTGCTATCTTCCCACTGAGATCCTGAAAAGCAAACCCGCTGTTTTCTATAATTTCATCTGTTTCTCCAGTATGCCTCCACTTGCCTCAGCCCCAGAAACTAAAGTTCTGAGATACCTTGGGAGGAAGATGAAGGAGGAGTGAAGATCATGGTAAAACTCAAGTCTAATTCTCCTGATGAGACCAGCATATTTCCCCTCCTGCTGGTCTTGAGGTCCTCTGAAAACCACCATGCAGATGTAGAAAACCTCACCAACAACCTCCCTGTGCAGTAGCCCTACCTCCTTTTCCCAGGCATATCCGCAGGCAAATAGCTAACATCTAGCCACAAATTTTTGCTAGCATCCAACTTCAAGATATTTGAAAAACAGAATAAAATTATTTAGATAGTTTTGATTTGTACAATAAAGAAAAACCGTATCACTTATCTAGATGTACAGGACTTACCTGATTCACTCTGACAAAAAGCCACACGGTTCACTGTCTCCAAAGCATAAGGATGGTTCTCCTTGTGGAGGCATAGAAATACTGCTTAGGCATATCTCCAGCTTCTTCCTTTTCTCACTTTTCACAGTTAACCTCATTCATGGCTGGCAATACTAGTTTCCCCTTTGGAGGTAGCAGTTAGCGTAATTGCTGGAAAAAATAGAAACAGCATGGAAAAGAATGGCCTGAGGAGCCAGCAACATTGAAAGTCACAGACATGACAGAAATGCAGGCAGGTCATGCTCTTAGGAGGAAAGTGAAAAAACAGTTTTCAAGAATTGTGGGAAACAGCTACATACCTACCAGCTGAGGGCACGTTGTATGGTAGGGAGTAACCAATAATAATGTGCCAGATGTGTTTGTCCTCCAAGTCATATTTCCTTTTGCGTGCTTTCCTTCTGTTCGTAGCAGTGTGCAGGCTGCTACAGGCTACTTGAATGTTTTCTTCTTGCGTCTTCCTACTTCCACAAGATCATTTCAGCGGAGGCATTTCCACTCTCAGCAAAAGCAAACTGTTCCTGTTTGTATCAGGCAAACCAGATGGAGAAAACAAATCATTAATTTATGACTTGGAAGATACGTTTTTATGACAGGACTTTGTAACACCCTACGCTTCTTTTTTAATTTAGTTTTTTGTGACATTTATGAGCAGATAGGAAAATAAAATTAGAAACAGGAGATTCCTCACAGCAGCAGCGTGCTGTCCTCAATCCTCAGGCTGCAATTACAGATCCTCTTCTGCCAGTAGCGGCCCCAGGTAAAGCTGTTCCTGCTCCCCCATGTTCTCAACACCCTGATGCTGGTGGGTGTCAGGGATCAGGGCTGGTGGGGGATCAGGTGGGGAAGGAGGGGCAGGGATGGGCATTTGGGAACAGCAACACCTTTGCTCAGCTGAGTAGCAGCAGAGTCGCATGCCTGGCCACAGTCTTGGTCAGCAGGACTCAGTCTAGTCCAGAAATTGCACCTCTTTGGTTCAGGATAGTATCTGACAGCAGGTGGCCTTGCCTTCCCCATGCTCCCCTGCCAGTCTTGATGGAAGAGAGGCACTGGTTTTATAATCCTGATGTGAAAACATGCCTGTTTCATAGAATCATAGAATAGTTTGGGTTGAAAGGGACCTTAAAGATCATAGAGTTCCAAATACCCTGCCATGGGAAGGGACACCTCCCACTTGACTAGGTTGCTCAATACTCCATCCAGCCTAGTCTTGAACACTTCCAGGAATGGGGCATCCACAGCTTCTCTGGGTGACCTGGTCCAGTGTCTCACCACCCTCACAGTGAAGAATTTCTTCCCAATATTTAATCTAAATCTACTCTCTTTCAGTTTAAAACTGTTACACTCCCTGATAAAGAGTCCCCCTCCTTTAGGTACTGGAAGGCCACTTCCAGCATTTGGGAATGCTTGGGAAGGGAGCCAGAATTTTCACGCTTCTGTGCACTGGCCGTGTTTAGTGCTTCACGAGGAAAGCACAGCAGTGTCCTGCACACAGGTGTTGCACCCTCTTGCTAGCAGGGGCCTGGGACCAAGCATTTGGGGTGATGGCCAAGCACCCCATGCTGTGGGAGGGGTCCCATTACCCTGCGCCAGCTCTGCAGGTGTAGGATCACTCCCTTGCAAATAGCCTGGGATCTGCCTGTCTTACGCTTGCAAGATTTCCCAACGGCCAGGGGAGGAGAGGCCTGATCAGAAATATTGCTTGTCATGCTTTAACAAGGCAGAGAACCTCTTCGTCTTCTTTGTTGAACAATTCCCATAGCAAAAGAAAGTGTGTGCACTCTCTCTCTCTCTGCTCCCACCACTCCTCTTGTAGCTTTGTGCCGCAAATGATGTGTGTATCTCTGAGTGCTTTGGATAGCCCCTTCTGGGCTTTTTATGAACCTTTGTGCATCACAGTTATTAATCACACAATTCATTGATAATGCTGACACAGAGACAAGGTTATGAAAGCACGCACGCTTTGGAAACTGGATTTGATTATTCGTTTTGTTTGTAAAACTGCTCAGATTGTGGGAACAGTGACAGGCTCTAAGAGGGCAATTTAATTTTTTTAAGTCATATGAAGCGGCTGCTGCCTTTAGTTAATTGCCAGCTCTGTTTTTCAGTACTAAATAGAAAACAAATTCTATTCTATTCCCCATAATGAGCCAATTCCAATTAGGGTAATTACCATGGGATAATTGTAGACTACCTATGGTTAATTAGGGCTCCACTGTGTGTTTACAACACTCCAGGGGTGTAAATATTTTATGATTACCACAGCTTCATACATCGTTACCACTTAATTTAATATATTACATCATTGTTATTGGGAGGGTAGGAGAGAAAAAGAGGCAAAACCTTGAAATACAACAGCAAAAGCTGCAACGGACTCTTCCCCCAGTCATCAGCCACCCCACCTGATAATGACATTATGCTGAAATATTCCCTTTTTTAGGTCATCTTATGTTCACTCAGCAAGAAGAACAAGTGCACCATCAGCAACACTGGGCTTTGAACTTCTCTGAGCTTGACACCAAGAAGAAAAGGAAAGGCAAGGCATCCGGGAGATGAGGCTGAGCCCAGTCCTCCCCATGCAGCCCCATCTCTCTGGGGCACTGTGCTGGTGGGACAGTGGGCACCCGCATCTTCACTCCACTAAAAAACATTGGGCCAGTGAAAACTACAACATCATGAAACACAAATAGTCTTATCAGGATGAAAGAGAGATAGAGAGATGCAAGTTCTACTTGGTATGAAATGTTGTTGGCTGGTCTCCTTGGAAATGTGAGTGTTTTTCATTTAATCATTATTTCATTGAAAATATGACATCATGAGCGGGAAGAGAGAGCAAAAGCAGACATTCAGCTTCTAGGGAAATGCAATACTATCTGAATCAGAACTGAGATCAGAAATATAAGACCCACAGAAACCCCTCAATTTGGCACTTTGCCCTTCAAAAAAATTGCCCTATGTGCAGAAATCATATTTAATAGAACAAAGAAAACTTCCCAAAACATGTCTCTGTGGGGGGTGTGAGCAAATGATTTTGTTTGCCAGTCGCATAGTGTTAATTCTTGATCTGCTAAAGCCCTTCCGCCAACATAGAGAAGCTCATAATCCCCATATCAGACAACAGAGAAATTCTGAAACTGATTTTTATCAGTTCCTTCCTCTTCACTATACAAGAAAATAGCCATGTCTAACGTTTTTGTTAGTAGTATTCATTGTAGTTTCCAGCTTTATCAGTCATTTATGATAGGATAATCGCATTCATCTGTAAAGAAAAGGTTTACTCAAAATCTTAGTTATACCCTTTCTCACAAAACAAGCCCTAACTACAGCAGCTGAGTTAATAACTGTCATTGCCAGTCTCCTTCAAGATAACCTCCCATACAAGAGACAACCACTGATTTTTTTCTCCACTTAAATTATTCTATTCTCTGAAAAATGCTACAACTAATTTGGAAACGTCCTGCTTGAATACCTCTCGTGTTCTTCAGAAAGGAAAACTAGGTTTGCAGCACAACTGGTAAAGGCTTCTTTGTATGCCTTGCCAATACTAACGGGCATTTTTGCTGCTGATTCTCTTCCGTTGACTTCCAGCCAGGAAAATATATCAGACATGTATTATTATTAAATCCCTAAGTAGAAATCAGCAGTTAGATGAAGTGAGGAGAATTATAGACACCCATGAGAATGATAATGTTTTATTCACGCCAAGCATCTAACCGCTGCACTGTGCAAACTGGGGTGTGTTCCATCTGCCCCCTTTTCTGTGGAAGCAGGGAAGGGGTTGGGGCACTGTAAGCAATTGGTATCTCCTCTGGAGACAGCTGCAGTACACTTCTTGACCCATAAGTATGGCAGTGATTCCACGTCCCCTGTTTAGATGTAGCCTCTGGTTCTATCCCAAACATGAATTGCTGTTGGTGACAAGAACACAAGACAGGGTGCATTCCCTGGCTTATTACCACTCTCTTGCCCCCTGTGAATGATTATTTCAGAATTATTTCACAATCCCTAAATATAGTCTAACCATGTTTATAATTTCAGTGGTTATGGAGAAATCTTCAAAAGCATGGAACCTTTTGCAGTGATGCTGTACCAGCTGCCTGCATCTGCAGGCAGCCTGAAGCACCACTGTTGCCAGCTTTGTGGTGCCCAGTTCATCTTAGAAACATCAAATTATGACAATTTACATGAGAACTTTTTTTGTTACCTCCTAATTGATTTAGGGTTTTGCTCATTTTCAAAAAACCTCCCATCTCAAACATTTTAGAAGTTTTCTAGGTAGCTGCTGATAACTACAGCCCACCTTTGACAGCTTCGTCAACTGAGTTAGGACTGTCTTCAAGAGCATTTAAGAGATACTATAGATTGAAATTGTGCGACGATATTAAAATCCTTAGATTGTGGACTGTATTGTACATATTCAGTATTCAAACCATGATAGAGTAGCCACTGTGCAAGTTGTAGTATTCCTCTGGTTTGTATTTTAATTATTAAAAAAAAAGGTATTAAAAAGTGCAGTTTGTGTTGCTGCCAGCTTTCTATTGCACTTAATCCAAAGATCTTGCAGGTAATTACAATCTCATTTGCTTCCAGGACTTGACTGAAGGCTGGCTGAGACACTGGCATTCTTGGCTACTTGCATACCGGGAAGAGACAAGGGCAAAGAAATTGCAGTCATTTAAGAAGCTTTGCCAAAGGTGGCCAGGAGAGGAGTTAAGCAGGGTTAAATGGCTCTCCTTTGTGGAAAGAACATATTGCAGGAGAGGCTGCTGCAGGAAGGCAGACGTCAGGCAGAGGGGATCATGGTTGAGGCATCTCAGAAACTGGTTAGTAAGTGAGACAGAGCCCCAGAGGGCAGATCCTTGCAATTGCCCTTCTTCTTCCTGGAGGATCACCAAGGCCTGCCACGTTATCAGGAACACGATGGTCCTCTGCAAAGTCCAGCAGCTCAGGCAACAGCCAGCCTATCTATCTCTTTCTGTTTCCTTGTGGGTTCACACCTTGCACAAAATGTGGATCTAAACTTCTGCTTCTGAAGGTATTTTATTAGACTGGCATTTCTTGGCTGCAAACTGTAACGACTGAGTGAAATGTGTTTTCTTTGCAATGCCAAAGAAAATGAGCAGCGGCATTAAACACTTAGAGATCCATCTTGAATAAGATTAACTAAAGTTACCTGACAGTCATGTTTTTCATTTCCACTCCTCATTAAAACTTGAACATTAGTTGTTTGCCAAAAGTAAAGTCTTATTTAAATATGCAAGTGGTAAGTGATTTATTTCAAAGCTCAAACTAACAACTACAATCCGGAAGCTCATAGAATAAAGTTAAAATCCACCTGATCTAATCACATTTCCCTTTCTTGAATGCATCCTACTCTTTAATAGCTTAAATCACCTCTGAAGGAGAAAAATAATCAATCCACGCACGTCTTTGGAGCAAAGCAGAATTATTTTTAGATTGCACTTTGTGGCTAAAGCTATAACATATTGTTCTGCTCTGAGAAAGCAGCCA